ATTCACGACTGAGAAAACTATATGGCCAATGTGCTCATTTCTTTTTAATTTGATTAAAGGTGTTAAATTTCTATGAGCTAGTCAAAAATTTCTTATAAGTGTTTTGAAATTAGCATTTTATCGCAAAGTAACGCAGAGTAATTACAAATTGACGATTAACGTGTCAAAATATATTACAAACGTGAAGAAAAGGGAAGATATGGGATACCAGCACGGATCATCGACCGAAGAATTAAGTTGGGTAAATTGCGAAAGGGTTCTCTTGGTCCAGCAGGTACAATTAAAACTTTTTGGTAAAAAAAAATAATTAAATTACAAACCACTTTTCTTTGCAGGAGTTCTTGGTTACGAAAATGAATCATTAAAAAATTAGGCTTGGCTGGCTTTGCACCAGAAAGAAGTACCATTGAAGCAATGGCATTTAATTTAGTCGAAAAACTGGGTAACAAGCACACCTTTGCCACAGAAAAAGCAAAAACTGGATCGCATTGGTTTAGATTTTTTATGGACAGAAATCCAGATCCGTCAATAAGACAATCAGAGGGCTTATCCTTAGCAAGGAGACGAGAAATGAATCGCGAGGAGGTAGCTGACTTTTTTCAGCTGTTGCAGAATGTCTTAAGGTGATTACAGCGCCCCGTTATAATTTTCGGACAAGAATATCTCAAAAAGTAATTTTTGTAAAAAAATTTAATTTTGGCAAAATAAATTAGGCAATAATATCTAAAATATGCATATTTTTAAAGTTTTAATTCCTTCCAATTTCCGAGAACAAAAATCAAAGGGATTTAAATGTTCAAATATCATGATGAAAATAAATACATTTCTCAACAGTACTATTTAATATAATCCATGAATTTAAGCTCTTAATGCCTTGTTAATGATTTTTTAAAATTCGCCAAAATTAATGGCTAAAATGCCTCGTTAAGTGCTATCTTCTGGTATAAACTAATGTAAATCATTTCAGGAAACGAATGATGACTGAGAGTGTACGATACGATAGTTACAGTCGCGTTACAACGAAAATATTGTCAACATAGCAATGGAAATTGAAACTGTTGTTGATTATCCCATCACTGAAGCTGATATCGACTCTTTTTATAGAGCATTCACCTATGATGCAAGTAGACCAAAATCTATAGTGTTAAAATATAAAAATAAATCAAAAAAAGATGCTTTTTTAGCTGCAGTAAAAATAAAAGACGACAAAACAAAAATTATAAAGGTTTAAAAATTCCAAACATTTCAAATAAAGTATATATTAATGAGCACAACTTCGAAAAACAAAATGTAAAACAAAATGCTAAAACTAAGAATTATTAATGCGTTTGGACGACAAAATGCAATATTTTTGGTCGCAAAAACGAAGATATCTACAGATAAGGACATTGGTAAGTTAGTTTATTAGATGCTAATAAAATCCTTAACAGAATTAACATTTTTTCTACTTTTCGCTATAGATAAAGACAACGAATCATTAATTTCAATTTTTTACCAAAATGTTAGAGGTCTCAATACCAAAATTAATGTGCTGAATCAAAATCTATTAAATTCCGAAAGTGATATAATTTGTTTAACGGAAACTTGGCTTTCATCATCAATATCTAATGAAGAAATTTCTACATCATACAAAATATATCGTCGCGATAGGCAATCAATCTCTTCAAACAAATTGTGTGGTGGAGGTGTTTTAATCGCAGTGTCAAATGAAATTTTTAGTTTCTCTGAGGACTCGTGAACCATTGAGGCTGAGGATGTTTGAGTCGTCGTTATACCCAACCGCGAAAAACGATACAAGGTTCATATTTGTTGTGTATACATACCTCCCAGAAAAAGGGTGGCACTAAAATTATTTTGCACTTAATTTCTTCATATTTTTCTTAATAACATAAATGATAACTATATCATTTGTGGCGATTTTAATTTACCACAAATAAAGTGATTTAAAGATACTATCAATAATTAATACAAACCAAACAATTATAGTGATCTCAGTTCTAGTTTATTGGTGGACACAATGTCCTTGGCTGGTATGTATCAATACAATTCTACTGTTAACATAAGCGGTAACACTTTAGATCTTGTTTTAAATAATAATTTTCTAATAAAAAATATAAAGTCGTCTACTTTACCACTGGTTGCTGGGGATCAGTTGTCAAATAGAGTAAACGTAGATATTTTCTTTCATAGTTTTATGTTCGTAAAGAAAGCACTGTTAAAATATTTTCTAAATCAGAATATGTAATCTCTCTTGTTGATAGTTTTTAGTTTTTATTTTTGAGTAGGTATTATTGTAAATGATATGATTATTGTATAACTTTGTACTATATTATTGTATAATCTGGTGAACACTTTTTTGGGCCAGTCCTATCTGTGTCCCGAATAAAAAAAAAATATTCGCATTTATTATGAGACCACAAAAAAGTTGGAAATTTTAAGAAAAAAATAGAATAAGAAGTATAAATACAAAAGTAGTATTGTTTAGAAAAGAATATTTTCTTTTTTAAACAAAAACGTGTTTTTTTTTCAACGCCTAGTACTAGCACTAGATAACTTACTGCGGTACTAAAGATAAATCATTCTTTAGAATTTCCCATTTACTATACAGGGTGTATCATCGATGCGTGGGTGAACGATAGCTGCTTCCCTATATGAGATAGGAAAAAATGCTTCAAATAAAAGTTGTAGAGGGCATTGAAAGCTACGTTCCAAAAATAACTACCAATATAGAGGGTGTCCGATAAATGTATGAGTTATCGAAGTAATGTTTTTTTAAAGGAAACACCCTATATATTTTTACTCGATTAAATTTCTTTGGAAGAGTGTTTCTCAAAAATATAAGGTTGTATGGATTTATACTGGGTGGTTAGGAATTTATGGTGAGATTTAGGTAACAAAATGGGTTTATTCAACATCAAATATCTCTAAATCAATAATTTGGAATAAATTTTTTTTTCTGCCGAATATTCTCGAAAATAGTGTATTTTCATTTCCTATTCATAATTTTACTGAATGGCGCTTTTCCCATACAGGGGCAACCAAAACTCGGGACCACTTTTTTCTCAGTTTTTTCAAATGGAACACCCTGTAAATGAGGCCATACCAGGATAGCCCATACCATGAGCTTTCAGAAAATGTAAGGTTTGCCTACTTGATTTTTATCGGAAATGTATCTAATTCTTAAGGAAAGTATAAAAAAGTTATAAAAGCAATAACTATTTATTTATTTCATTCGAAAAAGCATAAATTCACATCAAATGTTCGAATAATCTCCCATTTTGAGCTATGCACAAATTAAGTCTATCTACATTTGCTCTTCTAACTTCAATTAAAGTTGATTTTGTAATAGAGTGAAAAACTTCTCTAATTCTATTCTTCATGTCTTCTGGTGTCGTTGATTTTTCGCGGTAGACCTCTTCTTTAACATATCCCCAGAGATAGAAATCTAGAGGCGTGAGGTCTGGAGACCTTGCTGGCCACTGAATGGGTCCGTTTCTTCCTATCCATTTATTACTGCGCCATCTGTTTAAAAACCATCTTACCTGATTTTGATTGTGGGGAGGCGCACCATCATGTTGGTAATATAACCTGAGTCTGGTGTCAATAGGTACATCCTCCAACAAAATTGGTAAATGATCTCGGAGAAAATCTCTGTAAATTTCCCCATTCAGTGGACCATCAAAGAAATGTGGTCCTATGACCTGATCCCCAATTATGCCCCCCCAAACATTTATCGACCATCTATTTTGGTAATCAATTTCTCTGACCCAATGTGGATTCTCTGTTGAGTAGTAGTGGCAATTGTGTCTATTTACTATTCCATTACTTCTAAATGTTGACTCGTCACTAAACAAAATGTATTTTAGAAAATTTGGTTCCTTGCGAATGAAATTCAATATATTTTCGCAATAGCAAACTCTGATGTCATAATCCCTTTTATAAAGTTCTTGATGTAATTCAATTCGGTATGGATGAAGTTTATTTTTTATCAATATTCTGTTCACGGAAGTGTGACTTATATCCAGCTCTCTTGCAATTTCCCTCGTACTAACATGAGGATTATCTACTGTTGAAAGGATCACCGCTAATTCATTTTCTTCATTTGTTGCAATTTTGTTTACTACTTGCCTTTTCTCGTGCTTGACACTGCCTGTTTCGTCAAATCTTTCTTTAACCCTCCGAAAAGTCTCTGGTCGTATAGACCTTGAATCAGGGTATCGAACTGCATACATTCTACTGGCTAATAAACAATTTCTATCACACTCACCCAAATTGTAGATCATATTTATCATTTCTTCGGTGGATAATTTCATTTTGAAGCGAAAAATTATTAAATTTCAACTATAAATTAGTAAAGTAAAGTAAAGTATAAACCCATACAACCCTATATTTTTGAGAAACACTCTTCCAAAGAAATTTAATCGAGTAAAAATATATAGGGTGTTTCCTTTAAAAAACATTACTTCTATAACTCATACATTTATCGGACACCCTGTATATTGGTAGTTATTTTTGAAACGTAACTTTCAATGCCCTCTACAACTTTTATTTGAAGCATTTTTCCTATCTCATATAGGGAAGCAGCTATCGTTCACCCACGCATCGATGATACACCCTGTATAACCTGATTTTTCTACGTATTGTTCTTAACAGCTTAAAAATAAGTGTGAGCTTCGAAAAATTTATAGATATTTGTGAACAACAACAACTAATAAAAAGTATTAGAAGTTTACCATCTGTGATTGACAAATTTTCGAATTGACCTAAAAAAAGTTAGTCATATAAATAATATTCTACCGGCAATCTATAAAAACATTCTCTAACAAGTCCAATTTTCGATATCCATTAGTCCTCGAGAAATAAAACATCCGAATGACACCCAAACGCCTACATCGCAGATTATCGATAAAATACTACAACCCTAAATTGTCACCTAATAAATCTGCAGAGATTTACAAAAAAAAAAAAGGTAAAATATATATTCAAGTTTTTATCCCTACCTGAATCGTGTAAAACCCCGTATCTCTTATCGGCGGTAACTCGGTTTTCACCAGCTGTCAACACCCTCATACTGTGCCTTTCTCTGTCGTCTTTCTTCCACATAACAGTATTAGTACCGACATTCCTGGCAACGCAAGTGATAAGAGCGTCATCACCCTCATATACATGGACGGGATTCGTCAAACTGTCTCTCATTGACGGAAGGCCCACAGCTGAAACAAAAAAGAAAAACGTCACAAATATAGTCACATACTTTGATTTTCTATAGTAGAGTGCAGCATGAGTAAATTTCATAGATTAAATAACAAAGGAGATACATTTGTTGAAATTGTCAACGCTGTTAAAGAAAGGTACATCATGTCATAGTACGCACATACGAGTTTCAGTCGGCATACTAGGAGAAAGAGCACACTAAAATCACGTTTGACCTGTATAACATCGCATAGCAACATTTATAGCAAAAACGATCGAAAATAACAAAAAAATTAACAAAAAATACATTTTCAGACTGAAATATATCCATCAATTATATACAAGTTCTAAACAAAGTTTTTACGAATGTCCATCACTTCTGGTCGCTCAATCTATCTATTCATTTTTTTCAACCTCTTTATTAGGGCATCGTAAATATTTTTCTTAGTCACACATCCTATTCGCGTCGAGTGTCATAAAAATTTATGATTCTCTAGTCATTTGTAACGTTCCCGTATAAACACTCACTACTTTTCAGTGTATAAAGCTGTCACAATGCCGCATTTATCATAATAATATTCACCACGACAGACTCAATTTTTTTATTCGTTTATCTCTTTCAGAGGAGTAAGTGTCTGACGAGTACATTTGTCTAGTTTATTTTTATCTTCTGTAAAAGCGTTTTTATGAAATATACAGAAAATCATCACAAATAAATACATTTTTAATTATTATGAAATGTGGACAGAGTGGAAACCAATAAAAAGTATAGACTTTCATTTATATTATTAGATTAAAAAATATGCATTAGTTTCTCAACAGAAGGTGTCATTATATCTTGTCACATAGATTCCCCGCTGGAGGTGATTACCAGTGGGAATCTGTTACCAGAAAGTTACGGAGTTCTATTAAAACAATAATTATCTGTACCGCTTAAAGAACGTTTATTGATGAGATGAGAATAAATAAAAAAAAAAATAATACAATTTGATATAAAATGCAAAAATCCGTTTTATGTCTAAATATGGGGAGTGGGTGGCTCAGTGGTAGAGTCTCTGCCTGTGGATCCAAGGGTCCCATGTTCGAATTCCACCGTTGGCCGGGATTTTTTTATTTAATTTAATTATTTAAAATTAATTCTGATGCCTTGGTAGGATTCCCCACTCGACCATTCACTGTTGGGTTCTAATTAACACTGCTATTCCTAAAGTGGCGCTGGAAAACAGTAACAAAGCCTACACAGAACACGAGGCTAATAATTGTAGTAGTTGATGACGATGACAACAAAAAAAATGTCTAAATACAAGGCTAGTGCAAGTGGCTGATATCAAACAAAGTTTAGACTATAAAAGGGGTAGAGATTTTCTCAGTCCAGAGTATTATACATGATTTATTTTCTTTGTAATATATTAGAATTAGAAGAATTAATAGGTTATGTTTAATTATTAAATTAAAATGTGCTTTTTGGAAAAACTTAAAATGTTGATATTTACCTTTAAAGATATCTTGTAACATTTTAAAAATCTATCAGTATCTGTGGCTGTAAACAGCGGTGTGTTATTAATGTCATTAAAAAAATATCTCGGTAGAAATTATATTTATACTTTTTGTTAGTTATTAAGTATATTTTTTGAAAGTCAATTTGTCTGTAATTTTTCAATTATGTGTTGCTATTTCAAACTTTTAGTATTCTCTTTAAAGTATTTAACTTATACATTTTTTATATGTTTCTATATATTTCGTTATGCTGAAAGTAAATTAACTTATTCTACTTATTGTTTCTTTTTTTTTATTTTCATCAACTTACCTTTTGAAGAGATTATTTTATTATATTTTAGAATTATTTAATGATTAGTATGATTTTTGTAAATTTTCAATAATTTTTGAACTCATTTTTTAGTTAAAAATTAGATGTGTTTAATAATTTAAAAGTATTGTACAAATAATAAATATTTATTTATTATATTTATTTATCATACACCAATATACATAAATTCTAACAATTTTGATAGATAATAATTATTTTATATACTTTTCTCGCAGGACTTTGTCAATATCTTCACTCAATGCTCTTTCGATGGCTTCGTATGGTTTTTGGGGGATATAATTCTTCTGCTGTTTTGCTGATATAATTTTTAATGAAAGGTATATTCCATTTGTAAGCTGTAACTGATGTATTATAATTCCCAAGAAGGGCTAGTATTGCAATGTGATATAATTTTATCCATCTAGGATAAGCACAAGATGCAGAGAAAATGTATCAAGCTTTATTTATTTAGTGTAATCTGTAAAATAAGGAATATATTGTCAAATTAATCAAACACGTATATATAGGTATAGTCTTTCTAGACTTAATTCAACACAGGCGTTTGTACGAATTCTATACCCTCACATCGCAAAAAAGCGCAAATTGTCTTGGTATAGCACTGATGTGGCCCACTTACGTTTTAAATATCAACGCAACTACAGTTGATGTAAAGTTTACAAGTGAGCAGTCACAGTCACGCAATTTCTTAAAATTGCTGGAGCACCTGGCTTAGTGTTGCCAGATCTACTGTTTTAACAGTAGATCTACTGCTTTTTGTATCTGTTCTACTGCTTTAGGCATAAAATCTACTGTTTTCGCCAACTTGGCAAATTTTGTTCTTAATTTATTACAATTGCTTCGTTCTTCAGCAAATGTACGTCAGATATTTTCTGAGGTAAATTGGCTGAAGTCAAATCAGTGAAAAAATTTGAATACAGCCAGTATTGTAGGTTTGCGCCATACAAAAAATATTTAACTTCCAGAGAATCATCATGTTTTTAAAATGCAACCAAAAAATAATAGGGCATCACAATAAAAATATGCATGACAAACACAACATATTTAAATTATCTGATTCAGACTGATCTGAAAGAAACAGGTACCTATTATTTTTCATTGCTGACATTAAGTATGATTTATTTTATTCCTTGTTTAATTTCTAATTTGAGTATACATTTTTTTATTTTTTTAATTATTTCCTCCTGTATTAAAATCTACTGTTCAGTTTCGATGATCTACTGTTTTTATACCACCCATCTACAATTCCAGAAAATTTTCATTTGGAACACTGACCTGACTGCCCTTTAGTTGCTCTTTGTTCAGTAGCGTGCAAGGTCAGAAACATTTTCGCGGTTTCTCAAAGGGTTTGTTAAACTTGTTTTTATTTTTCGGTGTTTCTCTTAAATTTTGATTTGCGTTGTACGAGATGGCTTTCTGTATACCTTTTGAAGTAAATGTAAATACTAATGAATTGCAGGGTAATGATGATATTCACATTAATAATGAAATTACAATAAATAATGAAATTCAGAATAATGACAATTAAGGTGAAACAATCTTGGGAATTCAAAAATCAGGACTACATATTCAAGTTCAACAGGTCATTTTAAATAAATTTGCTTGTCTTAAATCAGAAAAACCAAAAATTTCACAAACAGTTCTCTTTTACACAATTTATTGTAAAACTACCCGCTGGAAACCACCATTAACATTTATTTTTTAAACCGCGCACCCATACTTTTCTTAATATGATACATGATTCGCTTTATGTCCACGATATTATACGATTTATTGGTATTAGTATACCCATTTAACCTGTTTCTAAGGGGTCCGTTGTTTGACAGGCGGTTAATTTAAACTACCTCCTACAAAAATAAGAAATTAAATTTGTATTATATAGGAAAATATTTCCCATGTTAAGTCAGCCTTATTTTTTACCATTTTGATCATGTAAATACAGTCTAAAAAAAGCAATATGATATATTACCAAAATGAAATGAAAAATGAATGCTAGGAATGGTTTTATTTTATTTTACACCCTTCGGACCCTCCATTGTTAGCGAGGTGGCACTGCAGCTTGCAGTTTATTGTATCATAATTGACTCACTCATTCACCGTCATTAATTTCATATCGTCGATGGTTAAACGCTTGTTGGCTAAATCACATGGTAGCATGGGCCCATAGTAATCGTCTCAGTTGTCACGCATCCACGACGTGACTGGAGAGATCACGGCTTAACTTTTGCGACAACGCGGATGTACAATATTCTCACGCTAGCCGCTCGGTTATGGATGGTTTCTAGGGGGTAGTTTGTAACGCTAGGGATGGTTTCTAGGGGTGGTTTGGCAAAGGTTGATTTGACGCTATTAAATAATTTAGACAATAGCTGGCCAGAATCCTATAGGACATCCGGTATGTATCCTACGCCGGCATGTGTCACAATTTTTTTTTTTTATTTCGTTTATATCAAAGTATACCGCCCTTTGTCGGTATGCCATAAAGGATTATCAATTGGTATTTATACAAGACAAAAAACACTAAAGCTTATTTTCCTCTTTGCTTCTAAAACTGTAATATTGTGTATTGTATTGGTGTATTTTGAATTGATTTTACTATTTTTTTATTTATTGAACATCTGTCAAACACTTAAAACAGGTAAGTTATAGATACTTTTTTCTAAAAAATGACTTAAAGGGTTACTGTTGCTTATATTTTTTTTAGTTTTTACTCTTAAAAATTTGTGCTAAGTATATCTGATTTTTATACGAAATTTTAGAGAAGAAAACCAAAGGTTCCCTTCCAAAACAGGTAGTCGATCCAAAAAATCGACTCATGATGAAAAAATCGTTGCTGGTAAAAACAGATAATAAACAGAACATTTAATAAAATAAGTAAATGATAAATTTCCAGCTAATTATTCTAAATTCCTAAAACAGTTCAACTTTTATTTCTATAGTTCAGCAATTAACTGAGAATTCCTCGTTTGTCTAGAACTAGCACTTCAAATTTTCGTTTAGGAATCCCGACAGTCAATGTCGCTGATAGTAAGGACGCACGTTCGAAAAATGTGGAAGTCTGGGTTCGAGTTCAGTCGATGACAGATTTTTTTTCAAATCTACAAGTATTTGTTTTTACCTTTGAGGTTCGGGGATGATCTTGATAATTCGTGAGGGATTATTAAGATTTGTTTCCACATTTTTAAAATTATTTCA